GAAAACCCGACATTCTCAATGTTAGGGAGCAACACCTGGGGCTGGAGGCTATGCTGGACTAGGGTGTGTGGGGAGACTCTTCAGAATCTTTTTCTAAAAGGGCAGCTGTCCTTTCCTCCAGCTGATGGCTGCTCTTTACATAATTCTAACAAAATTTTGTGAGCCCACATTATGCAGACCAAATAAAACATGTCTCTTTGATACTGAATTTCTGCATTAAAAACTGGTTTAGCTCACAGAAACAATGACTTGTTCCCTGTTTTTCTGGGTTTAAATTACAACATGGAGATATAGTTGGTAGATAAGTAAAGAACTTGTTGAGTTGGGGAGGCATCATTTTGGGCTGGTGGTTGGAAATGCAGACTTTGCAAATTACTTAACTTCTTTTTACCTTCATTTCTTTGTGTGCTACAGAGTTTAATATGCAAGTAATACTCAGAAATATAAGCTATTAGTCTTCCTTATCAATGGTGAAAAAAGTCTCTCCTTGAAGACATTTCAAATAGGAAAAAAACACACCTATTTTAGATTTGAAGTGTGATGATTGCTGTCTGAGAGTAGGGGCATTTGAGGCATAGACAAGAGCCTTAAGGTCTTTCTTGACTTATGACTTTTGTAAAATTTGTAACATTTGTAAAATGTTAATATTTTCACAGATAATAATCATCATAATAACTAATAAGTTGAATTTCTATTATGTTTTGGTCACTGTGCTGAGCTTTTTATTCACTACTATTTAATTATTAAAACACCCCCATGAGGTGGATAATATTAACCCTATTTTTCAGAAAAGAAAATTGAAGCTTTTGAAGGTTAAGTAACTTACCTAAGATCACATTGCTAAATTGTGGCAGGGTCCAGTTATGAACCTAGGCCAGTCTGATTGCAGAATCTAAATGTTTAATCAGTAAGCTAAACTGATGACTGAAATTTATGGAATTAATTTGGTAGCGAAGCATTTTACTAAAAATTATGGCATCTAATACCTTAGTTTTCTTTTTGTTGGAAATCAACTATCCAGTGATAAGTATTATCCATGGGTGGCCTGAAGAGGGCACCAGTGCAACACTGCAGCTGTGATAGGATGCTGAAGCCTCTTGCAGTGCTTCTCACACTAAATCACACAAAGCTAGGATCTTTCTGCCTAATCTTGTTTGTATTTTAAAGAGAAAAAGGATGCATTTGAAAGATTGAGATTGGCTAACTGCAAATTTTTTATAACATTGAGTTGAGCATTAGTATTTATAATTTCAAATGAGATCTTCTAGAATATAAATTAGAAGAAAAAATATATATATACATGATCCTGACTAGAAAAAATAGACCTGGATTTGGGTGAATTGAGGTAGAAAATGTGTATAAAATGAAAATAAATTAGGTATAAGAAGAAAAAAGCCAAGAGTTACCAGGTTATTATTAGTTTGTCACATCCTTGGGACTTTTGCTTCTCTGTTAACTATGAATGGAGACTAAGAAGAAATATTTCAGTGTTAGAAAATAATATATTTTTCAAAAGAGGTAATAATAGTAGCTAAAACATGTTGTATGGCTACTCTGTGTGCCAAGTATTCTTCTGTTTCTTTATACAATTTAATCCATTCAGTCATTACAATAGCTACGTGAAACAGGTCCTGTTATTATCCCTATTTTACAGATGAGGAAACTAAGACAGAGAGTTAGGTAACTTCCCCAAAGTCACACAGTCACTGGCAGAGCCAGGATTTGTGCCCAGGCAGTCTGGCTCTGAACTTTAAGCTCTTAATGCCGCCCTTTATTATCAAGGCTTTCCAGGCCTTACGAATTAATGTATGAAGACATGTAATATAATTGAATTTCCTTTATTCAGGAGAGGTATGGCATGTCTGATGGCAGGACCAGAACCACAGGAGCTATAAATTCTCATTTCTCACATTTGCCACTAACTTGCTGATCTCCTCTGAAAATTACTTAATTTCCTTTTTAGACTTTATATATTTCTGATAAATAATAACTTGAGTATCAGGTGAAAATTCTAAAAATTCAGATATAAAATCTTTTTGTTGCTGTAATAAAAGTTCATTATTAATGGGTTGGATTACCAGGGTCATTCTGTCAACATCATTTTCATTAAAATAGAAGGTAGAAATTTTCCCTAACTCTTGTGAATTACTTAGAACCTGTAGAAATGAATTAAAATGACTTGAACACTAATAAGCATAGTTTATTTAAAAAGTGAGGTTTGCTTCCTTCCAGCTGGCATTTCTGTTAAAATATGTACAATGGGGTTTTATTTTCATAAAAAGGCAGCAATAAGGAGACTTATTCTTTAGAAGTGATAAAAGCACTGACTCATTCAAGAAAATTAACACTATGTTGAAGATTAACTCGGATATGGAGCTATTTTTAACACCAGATATGATGGGACCACTTGGAATTAATTCAGACCCCACAAGTTAAAGGACGTGGCCCATAACCACACTGCCTGTACTTCAGATGCCAGCTGTGAGTAGGATCCCAGGTTACCCACACTTTCACCCAACTAGCTACAAATCCATGTATGTGTTTAAGGGGTTTTCATGACTCCCCTCAGGTTCCATAGTTCTATAGAACAACTCTTAGAATCTAGGGAAGCACCGTATATATGACTAGTCTTATATAATAAAATCGTAATATGCAAATCGACCGAACAGCGGAATGACCGGTCGGCGGGGGGTGGGGCCAGTGAGTAGGTGGCGCCAGGCCAGCCAAGGCACATGCCAGTGGGCAGAGGGGGGGGACAGTGGCGGAGGGGTGATGCGGGGGGCGGGGGGGAGGGTTTGAGCTGCTGCTTGCCAGCCAGCACCATCCCCTGATCAGCCTGCCTGGTCACCTCCTGCAAAGGGAGGCCAGACTGCGAGAGAGCAGCAGGCCAGGCTGAGGGACCGCACCCATCCTCCCCCAAGTGCATGAATTTTCATGCCCTGGGCCTCTAGTTTTATTATAAAGGTTACAAACTAGGACCAGCTAAATGAAGAGACAGAGTGAGGTCTGGAAGGGTCCTAGGTACAGAGCTCTATCCCCTTCTCCATGGAATCCATGTGGGACTTCCTCCCAGTACATTGTTGGGTTTGTCAAACAGGAAACTCCGATGAGCTTTGGTATCCAAAGGTTCTTGGGGTGCCTTCTTTCCATTGGCGTGTTTGATTGAATCACTGGTGCCTGATTGAACTCAATCTCCAACTCCTCCCCTCCCCCTACCTTCCCCTCCCTCTTTCTCCCTGGAGGTCCGCTTGTCTTAAAGCCCCAATACGCCAGGCATGTGGTTGATCTTCCTGGTGACTGGCCTCCATCCTGAGTCATCTCAACTCATAGCATAAACTCAGGTGTGATCTGAGGGGCTCAAGAAGAACAAAGACACTACTGTTAGGAAATTCCAAGGGTACAGAATCCCCTCTCAGGAACCCAGGGACAAAGGCCAGTCACATTCTTTATTATATAGCAGGAAAAGAGACATTATTCTGCTTTAAATGATTTCCTTGTTTGTTTTAAACATTTGCTTATACATCACTTATAGATTTGAAGGTGTCACACTGTTTAAATCATAGCAAATATCTTTTTTCCTAGGAGTCTGGAGCACCTATTCTCACAGATGATGTTAGTTTACAAGTATTCATGGATCATTTGAAGAAATTTGCTGTGTCAAGTGCTGCTTGAAGGGCTAAACATGTTCATGACATTTAAGAAGATGAAATAATATTTCAACTTTGTTTTTTTTCTTCTTCAATTAATCTGTGGAAATCAACAGAGAGACCTCTCGACTCTTTTTGTATTAGTAAGGCTTGAGACAACATACATTAAAATGTTCACATTTGTAGATTAAACTGGAATATAAGAGCAATACCAACAAACTGACTTTGCTTGCCACCGTATTATAACTGGTTTTGAAAATTTGAGGTCTTTATAACCTAATTATGCCAAAGAGTAAAAATAGAGTTTGTCTTGTACTGAAGAGACATAACCCATTTATATATTGAAAATAAATCTAAGTGGCACTGAATGTCTATACTGACTTTTGAAAATGTGTTTCTTAATTTTAGCTAGAAGGTAAACAAAACCAACAACAATAACAAATGTGAATATTTTTGCCTGTTCATTGAATATTTTTAATCACTTATGTATATACTTTTCAGTGCTTAGATATTATTTGACTTTACATATGGTAATTTTCATGAAGATAATTTAATGTTTTTGGTCATTTGGAAAAAATATTTTAGAGATGATTTTTTTTTTGGTAACAGTCCCCATACTGATCAATAAATGAGAAATCCCCACATATACACAACTTATGTGATTAAACATGATTTTTTTAAAAAAAGGAGATAGCAAATAAACCATTTTGTGAGAGTACATTTTAGAAAGCCTTTGCTGTAAGAATGACTGTTGTAGTTAGGAAACCAAATTTGGTTTTCACTGCATGACTTTGTTTTTTCCTCTTGTTTTTCTGAGGTAAATTTGACACTAAATCCTTCAGTATTTTAACACTATTTTGGGGTTTACACATTATCTTTTGTTTCTGCTTCCATTTTGTGAAATTTATTAAGTTATGGTTCTTATTGAAACAGTATTATATGATATTTTGCTGAATTATCTCGTGATGTTCAGTTCTATTTTGATTTTTTCATTAGTATCATTCATCTTTACCTTTTAAAGTTTACTTGTAGCAAATATTTACATTGCTGAAACCAGATACATTTAACATTTGATTGATTTTAGAAAGAGAGAGGGAGAGAGAAAAATCAACTTGTTGTTCCACTTATTTATGCATTTATTGGTTGATTCTTGTACGTTCCTGACGGGATCAAACCCACATATCAAACCCCTTGACATATCAGGAAGATACTCTAACCAATTGACTACTTAGCCAGGGCAGGTGTAAAAACCACTGATAGACAAGGCCTACAGATTTATTTCTTCTTAGACACACCCTCAGTGTGGTTGCGGTGGCTGGCTGTCTTGGTGTGCTGGCCTCGAACACAGTGTCCTCAGAAGTGGCCCAGCCCTCCGTGGGCCCGAATTTTCTTCAGTTGCTCCAGGTATTCACAGAGCTGGTTGTCCAGACCATTGGTGGGGACCTGGCTGTATTTTCTTTCTTCTTCCCCCACCCCCCAATTCTCACCCAAGGATGCATACTTTTATTGAGAGAGAGAGAGAGAGAGAGAGAGAGAGAGAGAAACATTGATGTGAGAGAGAAACATAAATAAGCTGCCTCTTGCATGCGCCCCAACAGGGGACCGAACCCACAACCTGTATATGTGCCCTGACCTGAACACCTTTAAGTGTTCAGGACAATGCTCCAATCAAATGAGCCACACTGGCTGAGGCTTGGCTGTAGTTTCCATCCTTCATGTCCTGTCTGTTCAAGAACCAGTGTGGGATCTTGTACTGGTGTGGATTCTCCATAATGACGATCACACATTCCTCCTCATCCTCAGTGAGCTCTCCTGCCCTCTTGGTGAGGGCGATGTCTGCTTTCCTCAACACTGCACGGGCGTATCTTAGCCGCATACCCTTAATTACAGTGAGGGCAGATGCTCTTTCTCCCCTCTCATCCATATTGGTGTTGAGCATTTGCAAAATGTACTGAACTTCTCAGGGATCACTACAGACATGTCAGCGTCCCAGTGGCGGCATGTAGGCCTCCAGTGGAAGAGAGCAGAATCATTAGTTTTTAAAATCAGTAATTTTCAATGAAAACAACTTGATCAAAACTCTGTCACAGAATTTTGAGATCCACTAAATCAAAGTTTAATGAGAAAAAAATTGAATTCCAGCTCTCCCCTACAAAAATAGTACAAAAGACACATTTGAAAGGTAGCATTGGAGATGGGTCTCTAGTTCTATGTACACATTAATCTTAGGGGTGGTCTTTAGGATACATACAGTGACAAAAGCAAATGCATTCTTTAATGTTACAAATTAAATGTTGTGGCTTTATTGCACTTGGTTTTATTTTAAATGAACATGATTTATTTTTTCAGTCTTTTTTGAAATAACACTGACAGATTAGGATTATTTGCTTTCTAATGCACATGTTTACATTTTTATTTTCATTTTCCATGTCTCCAATATATACATGCATACTTTGTGTACTCTTACCTGCTTGATTTGTATTCATCTTGAGCATTTTATCAAGTAATTCTACAGATGTTTCTGTTTCTCTTGTTTGCTTTTTAATAGTTTACTTTATGAAATTAAAACATTCTCCTTTATTATGTTTAGTCTTCCTCCTTTGTTTAATCTATTGAAACAAAAGCTGGTCTAGGTTTAATGCATTATTATATGGTTGAATATGATAATAGCATGCGATACCAGGTATGGAATAATGAAATTACATTACTAAATCAGATCTTTTTTACTCATTTATGTATTATACTGACATAAAGCCCAATTATTTGGGTTGAGGATGGGATACTGGGAAATTGGGATATTCCCCACTAAGAAAAAAGAAAAAAAATAAGTAAATGGTAATACTTCTAAAGCACTTGGAAGATGGATAGAAACATTAACTTTAGGCTTTGTTAGATAAAAAATAAAGCTATGTATTTTTAAAAGTTAAGGCTAAAGACCAGACTAGGATATAACTTTCAAACCAGAATATGTAACTTCCAATCAATAGAGAAAAAGAAGCAATAAAAGTAATTTGATTAATCAAAGGGAAGACAAAAAGATTAAAAAAGCAACAAAGGGAAAGTATGGTAAATAAGAAACAAAAAGATAAAAATAATGGATTAATATATTTTTTTGTATTTTATGAACATGGAAAAAATAGTTATTGGCCTTTTACCGTAATAAACAACATTCAATGTACTAATTTTCAACATTTTGCAAATTTGTCTTAAGACTTAATAAAATTTGATCTTTTCACATATCCATGTTCTACACCAAATAGCCAGATTTCAATTTTTGTCCATAGTTCATTGAAGAACATTCTTATTAATTTTAGATTTTTCTTTAGTAAAATTTTAAAAGTGATTTTTCAATTTTCAGTTACAGTTGATATACAATATTATATTAGTTTCAGATGTACAACATAGTGATTAGGCATTTATATAACTTACAGAGTGAACCACCCCAATAAGTCCAGTAACCAACTGATACCATACAGAGTTACTACAATATTATTGACTATATTCCCTATGCTGTATTTTACAACTCTGTGACTGTTTTCATAACTGTCAATTTGCCCATCTTAATTCTTTTCCCTTTTTTACCCATCCCTGAAACTCCTTCCCATCTGGCAACCACGAGTTTGTTCTCTGTATCTAAGAGTTTGTTTCTGTTCTGTCTGTTCATTTATTTTGTTCTTTGGATTCTATATATAAATGAAATAATTTGTATTTCTCTGACTTATTTCACTTAGTATATCCTCTATGTCCATCCATATTGTTGAAAATGACAAGATTTTACTCGTTTTTATTATTGATTAATATTCCATTTTATATATGTACCACATCTTTATCCACTTGTCTATCGATGAGACACTTCCATGTCTTAGCCATCTACACTAATAAAAGACAAACATGCAAATTGACCATACCTTCACTATGCCTTAAGCCACGCCCACCAGCCAATCAGAGCGACTATATGCAAATTAACCCAACCAAGATGGCGGCCTGCAGCCACAGAGCTGGAGCAAGCAGGAGGCTTGGTTGCTCCAATGATGGAGGAAGCCAAGCTTCCCGCTTGCCACGTCAGGCACTGAGCTCCACTCAAAGCAACAAAGTTTTAATTATGGAAGGTAAATAAACCCCAGATACATGCTTTCAGCTGGCCGTGGCCATGGAGCTGGAGCGAGCAGGAGGCTTCCCTCCCGCCCACCCTGGCTGGCTCTGAGCTCCTCTCAAGGCTACAAAGTTTTAATTATAGAAGGTAAATAAATCCCAGAATAAAAAAAGAAAAGAAAAAAAGGAGAGGCTGGGAGCTTCCGTCAATGGGGGCTTGGCCAGCCTGAAAACGGCCCTTAGCCCCTCACCCAGACTGGCCAGGCACCCCAGTGGGGACCTCCCCACCCTAAAGGGGGTGTGGCCAGCCTGAAAACAGCCATCTGCCCCTCAACCAGGCTGGCCAAACCTCCATGGGGTGAGGGTCCCCAAGAGGGGGGGGCTTGACCAGCCTGCAAACAGCCATCAGCCCCTCACCCAGGCGGCCAGGCATTCCAGTGGGGACCCCCACCCTGAAGGGGGTGTGACCAGCCTGCAACCACCCATCAACCCCTCACCCAGGCTGGCCAGGCACCCCAGCGGGACCCCCACCTTGATCCGGGACACCCTTCAGGGCAAACCAGCTGGCCCACACCCATGCACCAAGCCTCTATCCTATATAATAAAAGGGTAATATGCAAATTGACCCTAACAGCAGAACAACTGGGAGTGACTGGTCACTATGACATACACTGACCACCAGGGGGCAGACGCTCAATGCAGGAGCTGCCCCCTGGTGGTCAGTGCACTCCCACAGGGGGAGCTCTGCTCAGCCACAAGCCAGGCTGACGGCTGCCAGTACAGCAGTGGTGGTGGGAGCCTCTCCTGCCTCCTCAACAGCGCTAAGGATGTTCGAATGCAGCTTAGGCCTGCTTCCTGCTGGCAAGTAGACATCCCCCGAGGGCTGCCGGGCTGCCAGAGGGATGTCTGACTGCCAGCTTGGGACCGATCTCCCAGGGAGCGGGCCTAAGCCAGCAGGTGGACATCCTCCGAGGGGTCCCAGATTGCAAGAGGGCATAGGCCGGGCTGAGGGCCCCTCGAATGCACAAATTTTTGTGCACCGGGCCTCTAATCTATATATATAAAAGCCTAAGGGACTGAACGACCCAACGACCGGTTGACTGGTTGCTATTATGTGCACTGACCCCCAGGGCAGATGCTCAACACAGGAACTGCCCCCTGGTAGTCAGTGTGTTCCCACAGATGGAGAGCCACTCAGCTGACTGACGGGCACCAGACGCTGGGCTCATGGCTGGTGTGCGCAGCTGCGGCAGTGAGAACCTCTCCTGTCTCCGTGGCAGCACTACTGAGCGGTGGCGGTGGCAGGCACAGTGGGGCGGGATGAGCAGGAGCAGCGCAGCACCTGGCCCGGGCTCGGGCTCCTCTCCAGCTGCCTGCCGATTAACGCACTATTATATCCTTTGTGGGATGTCAGACTTCTGGTTTCAGGGACATCCCCTGAGGGGTTCCGGATTGTGAGAGGGTGCAGGCCAGGCTGAGGGACCCCACTGGTTCACTAATCCGTGCACAGGGCCTCTAGTTGTAAATAATGCTGCATATGTCTTTTCAAATTCGTGTTTTGTGTTTCTTTGCATAAATACCCAGAATTGGAATTGCTGGGTCCTTCTTTGTCTCTTGTTATAGCCTTTGTTTGTTTGCTTTTTAAAATCTTTACCTGAGGATACATTTATTGATTTTTAGAGAGAGGAAAGGAGAGAGAGAGGAGAGAGAGGGAGAGAGATTGATTGTTGGTTGCCTCTCAAATGCTCCCCAACCAGGGATGAATCAGCAACCTAGGTATGTGCCCTGACTGAGAATTGAACCCGAGACCTTTAGGTGTAGGGGACAAGGATGCTCCAACTAAGTGAGCTACCATCCTTTGTTTTAAGATCTATTTTGTCTGCTATAAGTATTGCTACCTCAGTTTTTTTTTTCATTGCTATTTGATGAAATATATTTTCCCATCCCTTTACTTTCGGTCTCTGTGTGTTTTTCTATCTGAAGGGGGTCTCATTTATGCAGCATATCTATAATAATAATTAAACTGGACAGCTGAATGACCTTCCGGACATCATTCTGGATGTCCTTCCTGATGAAGCCGCTGCAGTGAGGGCCTAGGCAGAGGTGGTTAGGGGTGATCAGGCAGGCAGGCAAGCAGTTAGGGGCAATCAGGCAGGTAGGCAGAGTGGTTAGGGGTGATCAGGCAGGCAGGCAGGCGAGAGGTTAGGAGCCAGTGGTCCAGGATTGCAAGAGGGATGTCCAACTGCCGGGATTCCTGTGGGATCAGGCCTTAACTGCAGGGATTCCTGTGGGATCGGGCCTAAACCGGCAGTGGGATATCCCCCGAGGGGTCCTACATTGTGAGAGGGTGCAGGCCTGGCTAAGGAATTCCCCCTACCCCCATACATATAGATATCTTGTTTTCTTATCCATTCAATCACCCTATATATTTTGATTGGAGCATGTAATCTATTTACATTTAAAGTAATTATGGTTAGGTATGTAGTTATTGCTATTATTCATTTCTTCTTCTTCTTCTTCTTCTTCTTCTTCTTCTTCTTCTTCTTCTTCTTCTTCTTCTCCTCCTCCTCCTCCTCCTCCTTATGGTTAGGTATGTAGTTATTGCTATTATTCATTTCTTCTTCTTCTTCTTCTTCTTCTTCTTCTTCTTCTTCTTCTTCTTCTTCTTCTTCTTCTTCTCTCCTCTTTCTCCTTCTCCTTCTCGTCCTCTAGAAGTCCCTTTAACATATTTTGAAATACTGGTTTGGTGGTGATGCACTCCTTTAGCTTATGTTTTTGTCTGGGATCAAACTTTTTTTTTTAATTTGAAGCAACAGCTACACAAATAGGAAAACTCATAGAGATTTG